TCTCAATACAGCTTAATCCAATCAACTCGCCTCACTCTGTCCTTTACTCACCTATAAGAATTTTTTTGGGGTAAAAATCAGCTGCTTCCTCCTGCTGATGCTGGCACACGGAGCATAGCAACAGCACTTCCTTTCGTTCATCATGTGTCCATGGCTCTCAAAGTCAAAACTGCTGAGACCAAGGTAAAGGGAATTGAGTTTATATCGTGTTGTATGTCACCGAATAGTATTTAGAGAATTAGATAGCTACTGTGGGCTTTGAAACAGCAGTTGCTTTCATTCTTACTGTAAGAGTGTTCTTCAAGGTTCTCTTCCTAAAACCCAAAATGAAAAGGAAACCTTACATTATAGTGCACATAGTAAGTACTACAAAGTACATTTATAAAAAAGAATTCAAAATATGTGATGTAATTCCATTTATGAGATATAATTCTTAGAAGTGTCTAATAAAATCCTACATGTAATGATACCAGTGTGTTCCTAAAACTCTTTCTCTAAGTTGTTGTTTTAACATATAATACATGACTCTGTGGTTTTTATCTTGTGGTTTTCACTTTGAAATATTTGAGACATGAGAAAGGGAAAAAAATGTTTGAAAACAAAATGTATTCTGAGATTTTAAAAATATGTGAGTTTATATTTCAGAGGAAAAAAAAATTAAAATTAATTAGAATAAGATAGAGCTGGAAAAATTTTAATGGATTTTCATTTTCATGTTTTTCTTTTAAGAATACGTTCTTAGCACTTAGCTGCATGCATTTCTGTAGCTTACTCAATAGAGCAAAGCTTGCTATACCTAATACACCACCACATGCCTAAGACAGGAACTAAGAATATTCTGAGTACAATGAGAAGAATCCTGGGCCTTTGATGCCAATGGAAGTTTGTCACTGACTTCAAGAGGTTAGGAATTCATCTACTGTAATTAGAGGTCAACAGGTCATCAGCTCACAGCTGTCCTTCAGCTCTGTGATTTTTACTTCAGTCCTGTCTTACCACTTTTATTACAGTATGAATCTACATATAGAGCAGATAAGGCTTCAGGGAGGCAGTTGGTAGAGGAGGGGCTGTGCATAAAGGAGACCTACAGGAAACGTGCATCTGCTCCGAGCAATGGAATGAAAATTACTCCTACAAAAATGTGCCAAAGATTATGCTTCCAAGGCTTAGAGATACTTTCAGGAGGATAGGAGGTTGCGTGGTTGTCAAACTTGTATGTGACGTTGTAGTCAATTAACTTTACAGTGACTATGGAAAAGAATGGATCAACCAGGTTATTTGGCCAATTTTCATTTAGGACCAAACTAAAGACAATGGAAATGGGAAAGCTGTATTTAGGCCTCAGACCAACCCAGCTGAAGAGATAAGTCATTTCCAGTTTTTGCTTGGCTTTGTTTTGATGTAGGTAAAGAAGAGTAAGACTGTCTTGCACATTCACTTATTAACAAATGTAAGTTTTTACAGGCATGATGGATTTCTCTCCTGTTGCATTAGAAACTAAAGTTCCTTGATCTCTCTCCTTGTGGTACACAGATGTACTATTCAGTATTTAGCACTGTACGATATTTACCAATATAAAAATAGCTAGTCAGCTAAATCATCAACATCCACACTTCTTTCAGAGTCAGATGGTTCTGTAAACATGTTATTGACCACATAAACCATTCAAAGAACTAAGGCCCGAAATGACCATTAGAGATGTTTTAGTGAAGCTTCATCCAGAGAGGCATCTGGTTTTGCTTTAAAACATCTATTACTGCCAAAGACAGTTTGTTTCATTGGCTAATTGCCTTTATGGTTAAAAATGTCCTTCACATATCTCTTGAATTTTTCTGGCTATAACTTGTAGCTGTTTACTTCTTGTGTCTTTTCTGATAGATTAAAGAACCCCTAAGTACCTGGTATTTTCTGCCTGTGAAGGTACTTATCCATCATAATCAAATCAGTCCTCAGAGCTAATCAGATTGACCTCTTTAGGACTATAGTCCTAACAAAAAACCCCAAACATTTCTAGCCACCAGTTCCTTTTGGTGTCTCTTCTCTGCACCTTCTTCATTTATTAATTCACTTTAAAGATTGCTGGTGCCAAACTGCATGCCACTTTGTCTTCCCAGTGCTGTGTTTAGAAGTAATACTCCTTCTCTGTTTCTACTGATATTCTCCCACCTTAAACCCCAAAGCCTCAAGCACTTGTTTTGTGTCACAGTCTTGCAAGAAAAGCCAATAAAAACAAGGTAGTATGAGACAACGTTCATCTACAGCCCCTCTCAGAGTCACTGTCTCCTTGAATGAGAGCTGCATTTACCAGCATGTAACAAATTAAATCAAAATGGAGATGATACTTTAGAACTGGTTTATGTTTTACCTTTCTCACTGCAGTCTTACCTGCCATTTGAACTTAATTTTAAAATGGGGACTTAAAAATAAATCTTTTTTTTTCTTTATTGGTTTTGAATCTTTTGTCAAGAACATTATGCAATTTTATCCTCAAAATCCACAGCAATGATAAAGGCAATGAATAACCAATTTTGATAAAAACATCTTAAATAAAAACAAATATATAAAATTAGCAAGTCCGTTTCAAATTTTGCCAAATAGAAATTATTTCTGAAACTTGACATATCTTATACATTTGCTTTCATTTTGTTATGAATATGCAGTCATTGTTTCACCTACTGCGGTTCCTGTAACCATCCTACACATATGCGATTCATTTTTATATTTCTTCAGAATTGAGTCCTATTCATTTATTAGCTGCTACCTATTTTTTCTAAAACTCATTCCCATTGTAAATATGGTGTCACCATTCAAAGAGAAAAACATTGGCTTCTTTTGCATTGGTACAATGCTTCACTAGATGAAGTCCATATTCTCTGCTTGGCATTCTGATACACTGAAAAATGTGTATGTAGTCCTCTATATATTACTCCTTCATTTATGCAGGGTCACTTTTCATGGATTTAATTCTGAATGAATACTTATATTTGCAATATTTCATCATCTTATTCTTCATTTTTCCATTTTAAATCTATTTTTTATCAAGATAGACAACAAGTCCTGTTAAACTTCAAAGCTTCCAAACTCACTTGCTGTCAGCTCAATTCCTTTGATTTCAGGGGAAATTCACCATGAGATCTTTCAGGAGACACAAAAATGAGCAGGCTTTGGGCCCGTATTTACACGTCCAAGTGTATTTACTGAATAATGGAATCGCTACAGGAATTACGTTCTGTGTGGATCATTATTGCATAATGGATCATAGTTTGGAGATCTATGGAGGTCTCACCAGAGGAGCCAGGTAAACACATATTGTCAGTTTCAAATATTTGATAGCCAAACTGGAGGAGGGGCAAGAAAATTCTTAATTCATTACACGTGTTGTACGTGGACTAGGAATTTATACAAGAGTCTACTCCTAACACAGAAACTAAAGCTTAAAAATGCTTTAAGAGCAAAAAGTGAAATGCAGTCACATATCTCCCCATTGTAAAACATCATGTAGCACAATGTTAAAGATGGACAATATGAAACTGATAGCAATTCTCTTTACAGTCACTGTCTTCCTCATGACTGCTTTCTATCTAGAGGTTCTTTTGAGGAAAGTAAAGAATGGAAGATGTAGGATGGAGGGGGTAGGCAAAGAAGAAAATGAAACAATAATCAAAGTTAAAAAAATGGCCATTGAACGAGGAAAGTCACAAAGTTAAGAAAGAGGAAAGGAAAAATATTTGATAAACCACTAGCTAGTTTGAGAAAATACAAGACAATCTGTTGTTCTGATGTCTGTAAAAAATAAAACCTGATTTTACTGACTGCTCTACTGACTAGAAAACATCTTCAATTTCGTACTCTTAAGTAAGCACACAATATTGCTAAAGCAGTTGCTGAAGTTTCATGCACGTTTTCCTTTTTTTTTTTAAAAGAAAAAGTCCCAAATAACATCTGGAATGTAATTATCACAAAAAATCAGAAATTAAAGTGTTCTGTATTAGAAAGACTATTCTTATTATAAAAATATATTAACCTTAAAACATTATTTTACATCATACCTGTAGGATTTAAAACAAGTCCTAGGGTCTGCATAATTCAGGAAGCAAATTTAAAAGATCAGACATATATGATCAGAAATGAGTTCACTTGAAAGGATCTCAAGGCATTTCATGAAGTTTATCAGGTGAAAGCTAACCATTTTTTCCCTGGCTGCACTGCTTCTGAAACTTCAGTTCAGAAATGAAGACACTGAAATGGAAGAAAAGAAATAAGGACAGCATGATATATTAGGAAACATATCCTTTGTATAATTCTACGTTTCTCGATTCTTAAAGACATAGTATTTGATAATAAGATAGTTGTTGCTTTATGAAACTTGTATTTTTAAGGGTATTTTTTTCAATATGAGTTGGAATTTATTTAGAATTCACAAAAAATTGAACTTTGAAAAATATTTAACAGATATGCTTATTACCCATTTAAGTTGTCTACATCCTTCAGCACTATGGTGACATGTTTTTTAAAGGCTGGGAAACTCAACAGTTACCGGTTTACAATTTTCTACATTTTATTTGTATACTGTTTCAACATACTTACAAGGATGGCTTTTAAGTTAAAAACTAACCTAAAATATGGTTAAAAACTAGTTAAGCATCTGGATGATCTTAAAATCTCAAGGTCTCTGGTGTAATAATTATCAAGAAATGTGCAGCTCATTCTCTGAACACTTATAAATAATCAATATACAATAATATATGATACAAAACAAAGAGTATTATTACCACACATTAGGAGCTGACATGTACTAAGGAGCCTTTGACAATTTCTATGAAATTGGCAACAGCAAAAAATCTGTCAAATATTTTGTCTTCTGGCTTTTTTTAAAAACATAATGATTGATAGAAATCCGGAATTATTTTCTAACAATTATGTACCTAATGTAAATATGGCATTGAGTTTTACTGTCCTTTTCCCTTTTGCAGGCTGTTCTGGTGAATCTGTTGATATGCATGGTGATTTTCTATGCTGTGTACTACATGGTCCTATCTGTGTGCTTTGCAATATTCAAGTAAGATTTCCTTGTCTTTATTCTAATATGATGACATATTGTAACTAGATATAACGCGTAGAGCCATGACCCTGTAGAGGAGGCATCCAGACTGGAGGCATCGAGTTCCAGTTAGCCTGTAAACACTATTTTCAAATTCAGTTGAATTGTTGTATCTGAACCTTCATTTATGTGCACAAATTGGCAAATGGAAAATCAAAATTAAGATAAAATGTTTATTCTAATCTACTTCCTTACACTTACACCATGTAAAGAAATGAATGTACAAGCAAAGATGATACTAAAAAGGGAAGATTTTATAGTTGATAAGAAAGACAAATTATTAGAAAGTTGGTTAGCCAGTTATTTGGTAGTGCCAGACATGTCTTAAATAAAAGTGAACACATGAACAACATGTACAAGGGCAAGACCACAATACACAATGAGATGTAGAGAGCTTATAAAAGCCCAGAGGATACCATTTGAAATCATATTTAAAAGTACCCACCATATGTCATATAATGACTGAGGCATCTTTGGTTAAATATATTCATTCTATTTCCACAGGATTAATATGTTGGATGGTTTGGCACCTTTTGATTTTAAGACAAATCCTTCATGGATTAACCCGTATTATTTAGGTAACTGAAGTTTATATCTTTTTTTTTTTTTTTTTTCCCCTCAGTCAAGAAAATAGATTCTATCTGGATGTATGGACATCTTCTTTATGGACAGTATTTTAAAGCTGTTTTTGTAATACTAATGATTTCAGTATTTTAACTACACTGCATTTAAATACTCATTCATCTTGCTGGCACTTCTCATTTCTATATTGCTACTTATCATTCAAGTGACTGTGGGGCTTTTCCTTGAGTTGTTCTTCTGATCTTGCATCATCTGAAGAAAACGTGCTGCTTTGCCAAGATACTGCATTTTCATCACAGAACAATTACCTATTCTCTGTAAAGTTTCTCCACAAGTAAATTTAATTTTCATACTGCAACAAATTTCTTATGAATCATCAGATACAGATCTGAATAATAGGTCACATTCAATTGATGGAAATTTTGCTTTGGTAATGCCTTAATACAGTGGGCATTAGAATTTCAGGGTCTGATTATAGCTCAATCCCTCAATGTATCTCTATATATCCTAATACAAATGTCTGCATTTTTGTCTGAAGTTTTCATTCTTCTTCCTAAACTGCCATTCCTAAACAATTACATGCACGCATGAAATTATACCAGATTCATAATCTTTTTTACAAAGGCAAACCACATCTTCCATCTACTAGTAAAGTGTAACTCTAAAGTAAATTGGATAGTTCACCAGGTTAAAAAGAGTAATAAAAATGCATGGATATTTGTACAGTGTCAATAATGATTTCAGATTAAAAAAGAGCTTTTCAGTTGTAGAACAAAGAAAATTAGATCATATACCATTACTTTTCAGGTCCCTGATGTGTCCCTGGTGCAATTACCATATTTCAATATGATGTTTTTTCAAAAAACAATTTTAGCAGCTAGTTTGATGCAGCCTGTTGATATGCGACAGACAGCAAGTATGTCGTGCAACTTGTTAGTATTCCACCCTCCTGTCTGGCCACCTGATGAAGTAATATGGAATAGCAAAACATAACAGGAACTGTTTAGAGTCTAAGGGCACAGAGACAGAACAAAGGTCTCTGAATGATGTTGTAAATGAGAATTAGTTTACTCAAGAGTCTCACTCATGCCTGCTAAAACCAGGATTATGTCTTTAAAAGATAATCTCAAAATAAAAGTGGAAGTCAGGTCAGAACTGAGGTATCATTAGTGGCCTAGTTTTGTAAAACAGTTTACAAAGCACCCGTCTAGGCATACTTTCTAAATTCTAAAATTATTGGCACAATTTAAAGGAATACGATCATCATGAAATATAATAAACTAAATATACTAAAATACATTGTCAAACAAATTTTTTTAAGTGTTATTTCCCACTTTTCTAACTACATGTGCTTTTCTCAGTTATATTTTTCTTATTTTTTACATTTTTTTAAACTGCTAGGTGGAAGATCCATAATACAGTAGGAACTAATTGACACTGTAAATAAAAGAATAAAATTGAAAGGCACCACATGCTGCCAAATGTATAAATTAAATACAGTGAAAAATGAACTATCATCTCTCTGCTTTCAGGTGCAGTAATCTAAGGCATTACATTACTGCAACAGTAGAAAAAAAAAATTCCATTAAAAATGTGACTTCTATATGCGTGTGTACTTAAGAAGAACAACATGCATTTAGATGGAAAATTGGATGAGCTGCAAATGCAGAATTATGGCCAGTTGCATGGGAAGTCAGGACTACAGCTAGAAGAGGCATAATGTAGTTTCCATTCAACCCCCTGCTATCCCAGGTAGCCACCGAGCACAAAGTCAAACTTTGCCGTAAAAAGTGATTACTTTTGTTACGCAGAATAGCAAGTAAACAAGCTGACAGCTAAGCACCTCTCTATTGCTGTGTCGAAGAATAGAGCTCATCAAATGCTATGATGAGGTTCCTCACCCTTCCCAGCATAGCTGTTCCAGGCTCTGCTTTCCTGCACACGGGAAGGCACATCCTGCCCAGCCATTACTTTTGCTGAGTTGTGCCCCACATCAGGGGAGGTGGTCAGCACAGGCTGGTGGCACAGCTTAGCTCAGCATGCTCCAGAGAAAGCACCAGGGGACAGAAATACACCATTTCTTCACTGAGAGAAGGAATTTTCTTAATCAGATAACTTTAATAGGACTTTTTTTTTTTTTTCTAGCATAATTTATTTATTATCACTTTGCTGGTAATCCCCATTCATGGTTTAACATAACACAGAGCTAGCTGCTGAATGTCAGGCACGCTGACAGCATGGTAGCTGTGGCAGCCTCACAATCAGCACTGAGAAAAGCCAGGTTCCTGGTTGCATGCACCATGAGATCCATATGGATGGATGGGTTCTTGTATGTTTTGTCTTTATATTCCTCTAATATATATATTCTATCATGTATCATAAATATATTTATATAGGATGCAATGAAGTTGACAGGGAGAGAGCGATGAAGTTTCCTACCAGACATAGTCCCTTTAATCACATAATTATGTTTTGGATGAGAAAAAAATGATTTATGTCAGTATCAACCATTTGACACCATATGCAAAGAGCGTAGATGGTCCCTAAGAAAAATCTCCACGCCATTTCTCCTCTAGGATATAAATTGGTCATAATCCTGTCACTGGTCATAATCCTGTTAATCCTCATGTCTTTACATAAAATATATAAGATTTTAAAGTCTATGGGCAAATCAGGAGACAACCCATGCAGAAGCCTGTAGCAAAATTAGAAATGAGCTTTATAATGAAAATAATAATGTAATATTAGATCTTGTAAAAAAAATTGCACAACTTGCAGACATTTTAACTTCTTATTGCCATCATTTTGAAAATGAGAAAAAAGCCTTTCAAAACTGTGGTGTAAATTTCCTGTTTTCCTTTACAGCTCTTGTTATATCATTGGAAATAACTTTCTTCACATGTGGTCTGCTGTTTGCCCTGGTTGTGGAAGAATGGGTTTGGGATTATGGTGTAACAGTTACTGTTATTCATGTCATCATAACTTCAGTCAGTAAGTAGGTTTACAGCTAAAGACATGCCTAGTGTTACAAACTGAAGGACCAATCAACTATGATTCATCTACTGTATTACTGAACCTACCTAATTTTTCATTAAAAAATACATATTTCTATTTTCCATCCATTTGATTCACGTATGTATTTAAATCCCCCCATCTAAAACTCAGCTCTGGGTTTATAGCAGAATTTTAAAACACTATTTTCTTATTAGAGTTTTAGCTCGCAATCTAACAGATCAAACCACACAGATCCAGCCTAGATAAAATTTCAGCACCTGAGAGATGCATTTTCTCTAAAATAAGAAATTAATAGTTGTTGTCCATGTCCTGACATTGAGATCTACTCATTAACACTTCAGCTCTAGTTCAGAATAAAAATAAGGCTTGCTTCAGCAAAATGAATTCAAAGTTTTAAAGTTAGATAATTTGAAGCAAATCTCACTGAGGAAAGTAGAGCATTTTAACATCTTCCCTCAAAGGAAAGAAAAGGAAGAGAACTGGCTGCTGTAAATGAGATTCATCATCACTTTTTGCCAGCACCTGGTAGTCTCCCTTCTCTCATGTTTAGCAGAATGCTGCTATGGATGATTAGGAAATATTTTAACCCCATCCTTTCCAGAAACCATTTGGGGACCTGAATTACAGAATCATAGAATGGTGTGGGTTGAAAGGGGCCTTTGAGATCATCTAGTTCCAACCCCCCTGTTATGGGCAGGGACATCTTCCACTAGACCAGGTTGCTCATTCTTTTTTCCTATAACAATGATACTTTTCTCATATAACAATGAGCTTAGTGTTCTTATTCTAGAATTTAGAAATAGGAAAAATATCACTGACAAATTAAGACTAAGAATCCCTCCCTACTACATAATAACTCATCTTTCATTTTCCAATCCTTTGTCCATTTGTCTTTTAGCACTTTATACAGAAGGGGATTCCCCAGTTCCCATGACAAATTAAGCAAGAGACCATCAAAGACTTCATCTTAAAAAAATTAAGCATAATTTCTCTACTGAAAATTGAAATATTACTCTATAATTTCTACTGAAATTGATTTTCTAGAGTTTAATCCACTGCTATTCCTTATTAATAACTTTTGCATTTAAATCAAGGAATTTACAAAAACTACAACAATTACATACAGTGAGGCATTTTTTCATGTCCAAAACCCCCAGATTTGTTATTGTTTCTTTCAGATGGCCAACCAAAGCTCTTTTGGCTGGCTCCAAGCTGCTGGCATGTCCTGTGTGCCTCCCAGCACACTTTACTACCTCTACAGTCCTGTTGGGTTTTTTTTATTTGGTTGGGTGGTTGTTTTTTTTTTTTTGTGGAGGTGGGCAATATTGGGTCACAATGGCCCTACAATTGATTCTACAGTGGGGATAGGGGTCAGCTTGCATGAAGCAAGGGCAAGTTCCTGACACAGGAGAGAGCTTGCTGTGCAACAATGCTCACTTGAGGTGTGCAGACCTGGCCTGTCAGTCGTGAATGGCATCACTCATTACACAGAAAATGTCAGGCACACATTAATTTATTTGGATTGTACCAATATATAGGCATTCTACCAGGGGATCGGTGTCTTTGTTGTGCTAAACTGTGTCAAGGTGAGTGATAAGAAAGGCATTTCTTCAGCAGAGTCTAAGAGCTCAGTTTAGCAGACACTTAGTAGTTTAAGACTTGCCTTCCAATGGGATGCTCACCAGGCTAAGCTTATGGCCAAGTATCTGAATGATCAGGACCTAAAAATGAATTTGCAGTTTCAACAAACATAAAGTAGATAGTTTATGAAACATAACCAAGCAGGTCTTTGATAATGTAACATAATGTTTGCATGTGCCCATCTTTATTGTTTAAAAATTTACACTTTTTTTCTTGTCCTTGCAGTTATGTCTGAATTCCCCCTGATGTTACACTGGTGGCTGGCATTAGGTATAATTACATTCTTTAAAGTTTAAATTGTTAGACTCTGTGTAGAAAAAAAAAAAAAAGTATTTACACTATGAAGTGTTTCTGTTAAATGTCTGTTGTCCCACTAATTTGGGAATGGTCAACATTTGAAGAAGAAATATATGAATTTCATTTATACTTCCTTTAATGGCATAGGTAAGTAACATTGGGCACACATTCACCTTGACTGCTTTAAAAATCTTCTGCTTTAAGACTGGAATGTACTCAGCTTATATTAAACTTGCTGAAAACAACAGATACCACTCACATTCTTGAAATAAATCATGATTCAGTCCTGACTAATCAAACTATCTCACTTAATTCTGGTATCAAAAAAGACAGTTGTCCAAACTAGTCTTCCCTAGCATGCTTTATAATCAATGGAAAGAAACAGGCACCTTTAGAGGCGATTTTTATAAACACTCTGCACAGGTACTTACAATAGATGAGATAAATCCCAGTCATCACGTTTCCTTAGAGTGAATGGCCTACATTTCTGAATGTTTTTCTGCAAAATTAAAATTATAGGTTTGTACTAAAATATAATATTTTGAGAAAGAGTTAAAGGGAAAAGTTCTGGCTTCTGTTCTTCTTTCTTATATGATGGATATCAAGCCTCAACAGCTGCAGTAAATTCCTAGATGATGGGGACAGGCAAATAAATTCCCTGTCCTGTAACTGGTTTCGTATCAGCAGCTCCTGGGGCTGGTATCTTGTAAGTGATTAAGGCCTTGGGCAAAATGTTTAAGTAGATGAGACTTTTTATTTTAAATTGAAGATAAAAAGAATGTCTGTTTAAAATTTTATTGTAATACTTGTATTCCACTATAAAAATTAATATAAAACAATCATATATTTTCTTTCAGGATCTGGCGTAATTTCGATGATTTGTGGAGGACAGATTTTGGCATACTTCTTGTTCAAAGACAACTTCATTTACCCAATTCTAGATGATTTTTGAAAAGGAAAATAGAACTTGCCTTTATATGAATTTGACGGCTTCATTAACAATATAATTAAAATGAAGTTAGCAACTGTCTAGTTGCAGGTCTAATATTTAGCTTACCAGATTTCCTGTATGTTACATTTGTTTGCAATGTCATGACTTTTAGCTCTTGTTTGTAATTACTTTAAGTTTTTGCATGTACATTTTCCTTTGAACAAATCGTTAGATACACTGTGTCTTTTTAAAAAAATCAAATCAACCATAAGGAGGATAAGAGCAACGATGCAACAGTTTTGAAAAATATACAAGGAAAAGAAAAAAAGAGGTTGGAATTTCATGTTTTCATGGTGCTTGTTATCTATTGTATTTTATGAAATGCTGACTCTAACCTTAGGCTGTAGTCTGACCTCTCACAAGCACTGTGAAACTTTAAAGTATCTGGCATAAATCACTGTATGTTTAAAGCAGTCTTTACTGGCAAAGAAGAATTGGTGAACAGCACATAGCTCTGCATCTTTTCCCATCTTAAAGCTCTCACCTAGAAGCTTCCCAAGACAACAGCCAGACATACAATCCCCAGTGTTTGGCTGATAACCTTATTTCCAGGGATGCTACAGACAAAAGTGTTTTACAATAGCTCCAGGCTATTCTCTCTTTCGCTAATGATCCAGTTATGGTCTGGCTGTGCTGGAAAGAGGAAAGTTTTCAAAATGCTACAGACAGCCATTTTTTTACACATCCCTTTCTCTCTCCTGAGTGGCAAGTGGCCTATGCCAAAGTGGGAGTTTATGTGTAACGGTAATTTAAAACAAACAAACTATAGTGGTGGCTTCAAGTAACTCTTTATCTCTTTAACCATAACTAAGTTGCAACAGGAAAACTGCTAGAAGGCAGCTTCATCTTAAATACGGTACCAGTGGTTTGATTTCTACTGCAGTTTGCTTAGAAGAGCAAGACTGGATTGCTGTCTGCAAAGGCGTGCTAAATGTTGCATTTGCCTTATTCTTGCTCAACAGATAATGCGTCTGAACAATATGTCCCCTGTTAATCTCATAAAGGATTTTAAAAATTTTTTGTAAGTTTTACTATTTTCAATTAAGTTTTAATACTGAAAGTAGATACAGTGAGTAGTACAGTAAGAAGCACATTTCAGAAGACTCCCAAAAGAATTACTTTTTTTCTCATGAATGACGGATATCTAAGTAATTTTAGGAACAAACCAGGAATGTAAATCCATAGCACTGAATTCACGTAGACTTTACAAGTTGTTCAGAATAATACGCTGTGTACTGAAGTCAGCGTAGATAATTCTGGAAGGTGAAGTAACTGACCCACACTGATCACTGGTCTGAACCATGGACTGGTTTTAGACTGATGGATTTCTGTCTCCAGAGACATTAGTTTGCAGGCAACTGACTGGTATTATGTGTTTGAAAAACATTTGCACATTACTTCCAGTTTTGTTTCAGTTCAGAACTATAAAAATGGATGGGAAAGAAATACCATCTCAAGTAAATTCATACCTCTGTCCTCATCCTCACACAGTTTGTGTGTATAGGTAGTGTGCCATATGGCAGAACATGAGTGGATTAGATATAAAGTTAATCCATGGGTAGAACAAGTTTCTATTTTTAACCTGACAGGATTTTCCTTTACATGTGTCAGCCCAGCTGCAGCTTGTAGTAGCTCTGTTGCCCAGTCTTGGCAAAAAAACTTTTTTTTTTCTCTTTAAAATCTTAAATCACCAGCAAGAGATACCTTCAGATTAATATGAAAAGTGCTTTAGTCCCAGGTTTTCTCCGAAGCACATACAACTAGGCCAGTGCTAGAAGAACAATCACAGCAAGACTGGTATGGAGGATTGAAAGCCTTAGTCCAGCTATTAGAGTTATTAGCTTTTTGCATTACTTGCAGATATGGAAAGGTGAGACAATTTCAGCATTATTTATTTCATCTTTTCCATCACTTTTACATTGAGCACCAGTGATTAATATTACACATGATGTTTAAAGTGTAGACAAAGTTCATATTATACAAATACATATTCACCATGTAAGCAATATGAGCTCTATCTTTAGTGGGAATTACCTGGTTAGAAGCCTTTAGAGACAGTATCTAATACTGTGTGATTTCTGTCTGATACACCAGAAGAGTACTTTTGGCTATGTCAAGCCTGGCTATTTCTGGAATGATAATAAAGTGATCCATCTGAGCAATTTGCATGTGACTAATGGATAAAAGTTAAGACACAGGTGGGAAAGAAGAGCTACTGGAGGAAAAGAAGGGTGTTGTGTATGTTTCACAATAGACCTGCAAAAGGCTGCAAGAAAAAAAGCTGCTACAAAAAGCAAGAGGAAAACAGAGACAACAGCAACAGGGACATGTTTAAAAAGAAAGGCACAGTGAAAGCAAGAAACAAGGAGACAGAAATGGGCAAGATCAGTGAAAGAAGAGAAAATCTGCAGACTGAACTTGTGGCACTGGAGTGTCACGACATGAGACTTGTACACCACTTGTATGCTGCAATCTGGTTTTCTGCTGATGTGTACGTGAACTCTAGGAGCAGCAGTCTCCACATCCATAGTTACAACTATCATCTGTGATGTTATGACTGTGGCTTCTGCCCCAGGATTTTCAGAATTCTTTGCTCTCTGACTCAGCCATGCAAAAGAATATTGTCTAAATTAGTTGGTGTGAGCTTGGTATTGTTTAACCCTTTGTGATACAGGCTAGTAGTCATGAGTCTGCTCAGGTATCAGTGGGGTGTAGACAGTCCAGAAGACAATACAAGCAGATGGAGACTATCCACTTCCAGGCAGAGTTTGCAGGGAAGAAGGTTAGAAGTTGCAAACATTAGGTACAGAAATCAATGGAGCAGTGCACAATGGCATACCTTAACAATATTGTACTTAGAGTCATTTTTAAGATTTTCTTTCAGAGGCAAGAAACTCCTTTTCATCATACCCAGCCACCTACTGAGACAGATTATAGTTCTCAATTCAGCCTTCTCTCCAGCTGGCTCTGCATTCATTCTTGTTCCAAATGGTGAAGTGTCTTACTCATTACAAAGAACGTGAGTGAAATGCATTTTTTTGGAGACTATAAGCATATATTCCTAAGCTAATAGCACATCTTAATGTAATGTCAAAGTGTATACTCATTCAAAAAGTTGTTCTGGGACAAACAAAATCAAACACCTAAAACCAAACCAATATCTAACTATGGAGTACACACAATATAATGATTTTCAGTTGGCATTTTTGTAAAAATATAGGTTTAAAAACTTATAATTTCCTAGTAAAGGGCTGGTTATTCAAACTAATCCTGTCATTTTTCCATATCTGTAAATTGCTTGATCAACATTTCCATCTCTTTTGTATTCAAACTTAAAAAAGCAAGCAAAACAAGACCCTACAGGACTCATTATTTCTGTATTCCTAAAAATACCAACAACTGCTGCACCAATAAATACAGAAAATACAGTATGAATAATACCAGATCACCAGCAATGAGTCACCTGACTGCAGTCTCCTACACTGGATATTCATGCATAGGGTATCTGTAGCCCACAGCCTCTAGACTAGAAATATCCTTTGTGACTGAATGAGCATCATTAAACTGAGCAAAGATGTGAAAACCTTGCACATTCTTCATTCCATCATCTGGTATGTATGTTGTCACACCATAAAGTTAGATCCTTGTTAATCCTCACAGGTATTTAAAGATTTATTTAAATATTTTTGTGTCTTCCAAATGTGACTGACTTAGGATATTTATTTCTTAAGATCCTGTGTAATGATCCATCTGCTCAGCAATGGCTAATACTCTAATCTCTCCTTTTTTTGAGCTAATCACAGCCCCAGACAGCATGCACTCTCTCATTAGATGTCAGAGAGGATAAACGTCTTAGGAATGGTTATAAAATTTGATGGTGTAATTAATACCTTTATTATTGGCTTTAAACCTTTTAGTGTGAGGCTATGATTTGAAGTTGCAGACTTGTGTCCCAGCCTCTCCTCTGCTCAGGGAGAATAACACAGATCCCTGTAGAGTCCCCTTTCAGACAGACCAGGATAATGATGCCTATGTGGTAGGGAAAGCATACTCTGTGATTCTCCAGCACAGGGGACCAAATGAATACCTTGCAGTCATCTCCCAGTTCATACTCTCAGGTTTTCTCTGCCAACAAAGGTGAAAGAAGGGAAAGATTTGTGCTTGGGCATCATCCTGACATATAGTTATAGAAAGGCATTATCTTGGACTGGGGATTTGGGAAGTGGTACTAGGACATCAACTATGGACAACCAAAATCTGAGGAAAAGACTTAATCCAAATCTTTTAAGGTTACCTACCCCTAGAAAACAGTTGCAGTCAAATAAGGATAATAGTTGAAACTGGAGCCTGTAAGAAATAAGCAAGGCCCTGTCAGTCTCTTGCTGTTGTTCTAAATCAAAGATAGTCACAGCCTGGCCATTATTGTTCCATATTTGCTAATGAAAGTAAATCTTAATATGAAATACTTTGCTGTGGATTTGCAAAGTAAATTGTAAACAAAGGGTCCACTCCTGCTTCCAACAGCAAAGATCTCATTATCTCTACTGGAGCAATACTCTATCAAACGACCACTTTTATGTAACCAGACCCTCCCTCAGAGTGATCTTGTCACCAGATTTTCAGCATCAAAAGAAGTGTTTAAATAAAACATGTGTGGTGGCAGAATGCTCAAATACATTAAGAATTATCAAATAATTAAGAATTATCAGTGTTCAGACAACCTTGCACTGAAATTACATCTACATCAGTAGCTTTCAAAATAGACTGAAAAAGTGTTTTGATTCACTTCATAAAACTTGATGGGGTTCCACACAAAGATGTACCATTAAAGATAACAAAAAACATGAATGTGTTTGGTATCTCAAACAATATTATCTGAAAAAAAGTAAATATAAGCCAAATTACATTATAAAATTCAACAGCAAATAATATTTACATTAATTTGAATTTAGTATTTAAAA